CCAGCTCCTTGGAATGCTGCTAATAGACACCCAGCAGGGACTGCCCTCTTTAGAGAGGACCTTGATGACATGAGCAGCAGTGTCAACACGTGCCCCTCCCTAAGCAGCCAAAGCCTGGTTTGCATGGACTGCAGGGCCTGTGTCTCATGCAACTCAGGATATCTCTGAAGGGCCTTTCCAGAACTCCCCTAGGGACAAACTGCAGGCCTCCACAGACTGAGCTCAACTTTTCCCTCTGCTCAATCCTGCTCCTTTTCTTTGTCTTCCTTACACAAGTGTTGATTTTAAGAGTTTTCCCTAATAAATCTTCTGAATCCTATTTTTGCCCTCTGAGTCTGCTTCCCAGAGTACACAATCCTCAACAGAAGCAAAATGTGTGTATAACATCAGGTGCAAGGACAGAGACTACTGTGGAGAGGGCACATACAAATTAAAGGGGGCAGGAAAAAAAGCTTTTGGCACTGATTGAAGTCTTTTTCTTAAAATCTGGGTGCTGTTGATATTCTTGTGTTCAAATAATAAAATGTATCTAATTGCATGCAATGTGCGCTTTTCTAACTTCCTTCAATACAAAACATGTACCTTTTCATGACTTCCTTCAATATGAAGTTACAGTAAGACAAATTAGAAAATGACTAAGAATAGGACAGAAACTTAGTTTTACTTGTACATCCTTTAAATGACCACTCAAGGTGTACACACCTGGTTCAGAGAAGTCTGAAAAGGACTAGGCTGAAATTACAGCCCAGCTGGTAGCAAACCAGGCCAGACCCATGCCTCTACTCCTTGGCATCATTTTTGTGTTATTTTTATTAGACCATGCTTTTGAGGGTGGTGACCAGAAGCCAATGCAGGTTCTGCTACAGCCAGGCATTGATGGAGTTTAGGTCATGCTTCCACAAAACATATCACCTAAGCATCTAAGAAAACAGCAGAAGCAGGAAGGCCGCTCTCACCTCTCTCCCTCCTCACCCCTGGATAAAGCCATAAAACCCAGCTGACTTTACTCTGAAGTAGGTCATAAGACCCTCACATTCCCAGATGTCCTCTCTGTACCCAGAGGAAAGGAAGGTTCCTGAAGACACAGATATAGAGAAGAATCTGAGCCAACAGGCCTAGCCAAGTTTCCAGAGGGGTCATCATTCCTTTTTCCAAGATATTCCTACACGACTGACTGTCCACTCTTCATCAAGGACCTTGGAATTAAACCAGAGACCCTTCATCTATTAGAAGAAAAAGTAGGCCCAAATCTCCATCATGTCAGATTAGGCCCCAAATTCCTTCGTAAGACTCCTGCGCAAGAATTAAAATCAAGAATCAATAAATGGGACGAATTCAAACTCAAAAGCTTCTCAGCAAAAGAAACAACCAGTGAGGTAAATAGAGAGCCCACAGAATTGGAGCAAACTTTTACCACTTGGCACATGAGATAGAGCACTAATCTCTAGGATATATAAAGAACTCAAACTCTTAACACCAAAATAATTATCATCATCATCATCATCATCATCATCAAATCAATAAATGGGCCAATGAACTGAGCAGACACTTCTCAGAAGATGATATGCAATCAATCAACAAATATATGAAAAAATGTTCAATATCTGTAGCAAATAGAGTAATGCAAATCAAAACCACTCTAAGATTTCATCTCACTCCAGTCAGAAGGGCAGCTATTAAGAACACAAACAACAATAAATGTTGGCGAGGATGTGGGGAAAAGGATACACTCTTACATTGCTGGTGGGACTGCAAATTGGTGCAACCAATCTGGAAAGCAGTATGCAGATTCCTTAGAAAACTTGGAACCACCATTTGATCTAGCCATCCCACTCCTTGGTCTATACCCAAAGGATTTAAAAACAGCATACTACAGTGACAAAGCCACATCAATGTTTATAGCAACTCAATTCACAATAACTAAACTGTGGACCAACCTAGATGTCCCTCAATAGCTGAATGGATAAAGAAACTATGGTGTATATATATATACACAATGGAATAATATTCAGCATTAAAGTGAATAAAATTATGGCACATGGAGGTAAGTGGATGGAGATGGACAATATCATACTAAGCAAAGTAAGCCAACCCCCCAAAACCAAAGGCCGAACATTCACTCTGATAAGTGGATGCTGATCTATAATGGCGGGGTGGGGGGGGCAGGGAGCATGGGAAAAATGGAGGAACTGTGACTGGGCAAAGCGGAGGGATGGGAGACTTAGGGGTAGGGGTAGGAAAGACGGTGGAATGAGAGGGCCATCATTACCCTAAGTACATGTATGAAAACATGAATGGTATGACTCTACTTTGTGTTCAACCAGAGACATGAAAATTGTGCTCTATTTGTGTAATGTGAATTGAACTGCATTCTGCTGTTATATATGACAGAATAAATAAATTTTAAAAAAACCTTAACATAGAATTCACAGGATTCTCTGTTTCTTTGGGTCTTTGTTTCCAAAAGCCCCTGTGTCATGTGAAACTTGTACTAAGTAAAGGTGTCCTTTCCTCTGGTTAATCTATCTTTGTTATAGGTGCCTCAGTCTTGAACCAGAATGGGTGAGGAAAGACATCTCTTACCACTCGGGATCAATGATTCAGCTTTGCCCTGCAAGAGGATGATGCTAGGGTAAGCCATGACCTTTAGGTTCCTTCTCTTCAAACTTCCTTCACAAATACCTGGCTCTGAAGTCAGAAGACATAAACATCTTTTCAATTTAAACAAAGGAGTATACCTGGCCCTATATGGTACTCTCTCAAAGAGGACCTTCTGTTTACTATGACTGTTTTATTATTTTTCTATTCCTCCATTCTCACTTTTTAAAAAGTAAATTTTAGTTCATTTAATTGAGATAATTTCATATCTCTTCCACTTTTAAATAGGCAATATAAGAAACAGAAAGAGGACAAAACAGGCCCTAAACAGGGGAAGGTAAATTCCTTCATTTTCTCAGCTGGCTTTTAATGGGATTATTGATCTTCAGCCCATTCCCAATCCTAAATCCATTTGGGTCATTCCCACAGTAAAAAATAATTCTCCTTTAATTTGGGAGAATATCAGTTCAAATATCTTCCTTCAAAATGATATCGAGGGGCTGGGGCTATAGCTCAGTGGTGGAACACTTGCCTAGAATATGGGAGGCAATGGATTCGATTCTTAGCACCACAAAAAAGTATAAAATAAAATAAACAAATAAAGGCATTCTGTCCATGTACAACTACAAAAAAAATATATATATTTTTAAATGATACCAAAGATGTCATCAGCACTAAGAGAGGTTGGGAGAACTACCAGAACAAAACTGTTACTTTTATTTCCAAAACAAAAGGCTCCTCTTTGAAAAGCAAGAACTTAAAGGTCAGGGTAGTATCTAGTGAACATGAAGGGACATCACTGGCCAGTTCTTAAAGAGAGTGGAATGTGGAGCATTACTTGACAAGGGAGTTTCAATGCAATGTTTAGGCTGGCCCTGAAAGAAGAGTCAAATACAACTTCATCTTTTATCCTGTTGTTATTGCTTCTTTTGTCTGTTTTTCTCAGATAAAGAGGTAACAGAGTATACAACCCCATAACTAAACTCCAATAAAAATGTTTAGGCTTGATCCCAAAGAACAGTTAAATGTCTTGGATTCCCTTTGAAATTGTTTCTGGAGGAGGACATCACAGAGTTTATATGACTGAATTACTTAGATCTTTTTAGAAAGGGTTTGCCTCTCAGATAAACTGAAGTGAATTCATCACCCTTCAAGGCAGGGATGAAAAAGAATGCAATAATAATGTGCATTCCATTCTTTATCTTGAAAAATCAACAGGAAGATGACTGAGAATTTCCCACCCACTCTTTTTGAGGTCACTCACTGATTTATTCATTCATTTAGCAAATATTTTTGAAAGCCTACTTTGCCTTGAAGCTAAAACTTAATCAAGTCCTCTTCTTTACATATGGATATTAAAAAAATCTCAAACATTCCTTTTGACCAAGAAGTAGAATTCCAGAACACCCCCCCCCAATTTCAAGAAGCAATTTTACCTCTCACTCAATTATGCTCCAATCATTCACAAAGAACAGATGGAAAACATTCTGAACCTTTTTCTAAGATACTGAATGCATTTTGTATTAGGGGATGAACATGCTGTAGTTTGGCATGGAATGTCCCCACTAAGGCCCATGTGTTGGAGGTTTGGTTTCCAACTTGTTACATGTGGAAGCTGGTGGAACCTCTAAGAAGTAAGGCTTAATGGGACATCTTCCAGTCACTGGGGTCACATCTTTGAAGGGAATTGTTGGACCTGAGCCCCTTCTCCTTTCTTTCACTCCCTGGCCATGACATTAATGGTACTGTTCTACCATGCACTTCTGCCATGATATGTAGCCTTTACCAGAGGTCCAAAAGCAATAGAGCCAGCTGAAAATGGATTAAAACCTCTAAAACATTAAGCCAAAAGTCAACCTTTCCTCTTTATAAGTTAATAATCTCAGATATTTGTTATAATGAGAGAAAGCTGACTGAAGATACCATGGTTTTTCCCCCCACTGAAATTCCTTTCACTCTTGCAAATTTAAAAAAAAAAAACAAACAAAAATAAGATAAAATCTGTCACTTGGAGACAGTGACGCAGGATTTTGTTAAAGGAACAATATCAACATTGCTAGAGCTGTGTCTGTAACATGGCCAGGAGTTACAAGAGGGCCTGTGTCACATCTTCCCAGCCTCACCCAGGCTTCTATCTGCAGGGAATGATCTCACCCTCAGAGCTGGTACCAAGAATCACAAGAAGAGTAAGAGAAATCTCTCCAACCTTCCCTTTCCCTAGGAGGCTGCTTCTTGGGGGCTACAGGTGGGGAACATCCCTGCCAATAGGAGAGTATTCGGGAACACTGAATGTTTGGAATAGACCCTCCCGTAACAGAGAATCAACAGGTGAGCTGGTGACACTACTGTGTTAGTAGGAGTGGCTTCACACTGCTGCAGTGAAAATCTCAAAATCGGCCTACCTCAGTCGGCCCAGCATACATCATGGGCGATGGGAAGATGGCCACCACTGTGCTTTCAGGATTCAGGACTCCTTCCTCCAGCACAGCGGCATGTTGCTTCATACGCCACATCAAAGGAACATCGTCATCCTTTGTCCAGCCACCAAGGGGGTGAAGGAGGAGGACGGGGCGCCGGTAGCCCCTCTCTAGAAGTTGCTTATGAGTGTCCTGCATTAACAGAGCATGTCCATTGTGCACTGGGTTGCGTAATTGAAATGCAAAGACAGCATCTGAAAAGAGAATTTCCAGAGTGAAGAATTTCTAATATTACCTTCCACAGAATGAGAAATTTTTAAAGTTTGATGGTGAAGATTAAGAAAACACATGCAGGGGCTGGGGCTGGGGCTCAGCAGTAGAAAACACGCCTAGCTCGTGTGAGGTGCTGGATTCGATCCTCAGCACCACATAAAAAATAAGTAAATGAATAAAATAAAGGTACTGTATCCAACTACAACTAAATATACATATATATACATATATTTTTTAAAAAAAAATACACATGCATGCTCAGAATCAGAAATCAGTGAAAAATATGATCTGCTTTGACCATTTGTTCTAAAGCAACATGATGCACACTTCTAGCTACAATAATAAATAAATCTTACATGCCTGAGGATATGTAATATACTAGTCATGGATTTATAATAATTACTCTCTCCATTCACTGGAAACTAGAGTAACTGTCAGACTTTCTTTCTGGTCTTAACATCTTACTCAATTATAACAGATATAATTTCTTGGTCTGCACTTCAATTAATTACCAGATCAACTCCTCATAGAACTGAAGACACTGCCTTATTAAATAAAGACAGAAAGGTAGATACATTTGTAGTTTCAAAATCTTACTATTCAAATATGCTTGTTTATGTTTACCACTTTGCTTACCTAGAACCCTACTTTGAACTGTGATCCAGTGTCAGGATTCTAGATTATAGTGCAGCAGCAATAGTTCCCCTTTTTACAAGAGTCACTGATGTTACTCAGACAATGGAACCAACTATAAGATTAACAGAACTGATTACTGTTTCCTGCTTACAACTCTGGTTTCATTCCTACACAGTACTTGCTACCTACCAGAAGACTGATCTTAGAAGCTACGGTTCTTTGGGGAATGGAGTAATTTCACAGAACAGAGACAATCCAGTGTAGGATCTCTGTATTTACTGCCCTTAACCCTGGCACAGCCTCCTATGATGCTGACCCAAGCCTGACTTAGAGAGAGAAACAGCCTCCTTCCACTAATACTCTTTAAACCAAACAACAGACATCTTCCTCAACTTATTTTCAGTTCTGACGCTCTCCTATCACCATGACAAAGGCACAGGAGGAAGACTGTGACAATGCACTTGACTAGGGCTTTTTTGTTTGTTCATTTGTTTTGCCACCTTTTGTAATAGCCAAGATTTACAGTATTATTATTATTATTATTATTATTATTATTATTATTATTAGAAGTTCTCCAGTTGCTTTTTATATATGAAGAAGGCTGATTTTCACCAGCTATTTCCTAATAGCTAATATGACATAAGGTACAAAGCACAGCAAAGTCCATGATACAAACACTTGAGCATTCAAAATTATTTGCTTTAGGATAGAGGAGGGATATGCAGATCTGAAAATTTTTCTATCCTTCTAAATTTGCTTCAAGTTTTATTTTACATGGACATGAAAGACCCCAAAACCATTCAGCAGAACTCCAGGGCTCGCCTAGATTGAGAATCAGTTTATTCCCGAACTCTATCATACCAGTCTTTCAAAAAAGAATGAATAAAGAGTGCATACACTAGTACTAATACTCCTTAACTTAGAGAATGACTATCTGACCTTATTCTGCCACTCTGGTTCCAGCCTAAATAAATCTCATCACTGAATTTAGTTTTATGGCCTTTCTTCCCTCACTTTACCCTGCCTCCTCTGCATGAAGTCTTGAACCCTGAAGTCACACTTACTAAGCATTAATGAGTCCTCCTCATGGGCTAATCTGCGTCACTGAACAGAGTCGGGGGCACAAGTCTACAGCAGCAGGATCAAGGAAACTAGCTGGTACCTGGAGCTAACAGGTCCAAACCTGAGAGGACAACTGGTTTGACTGGAAGACCACATACAAAGAGGTACGACAAATAAGCCACTAAACTGAGGACAATAAGAACAAGATTTCTCGCAGTGGAAGAAAGGCATAAATACAGAAAGGAAAAAGGCCACAATGTTCTGCCTCACCTCAAACCCTGAGGAATGGAGCCAGCCTTCTATGTACTGAGACCTCTGAAACCCTGAGCCCCCCAATATACTCTTCCTCCCTAAAATTGTTCTCATCAGGTCTTTCAGTCACAGCAGTGAAAAAGCTGACTAAAGCTACCCGTAAACTATAAAAACATCAAGGTCATGAAAGTCAAGATAAAGACTAAGTGACTGTTCTAGATATAAGGAGATTAAAGGCACATGATCTAGGTTCTGAACAGGAAGGAATGGTGGTAAAGAGAATACCTTGCTGTAGTTCATTGGCTTTTCAATAAAGACTCTGTTACAACATGGCATGATACGAATGGAATACATGGATTAGACAGTTTTGCATCAATGCTACTTTCCTGAATTTGATAAGCATTATTCAGTTAGGTAGAAGACTGTCATTATTTTTAGGAAACACAGATGAAAATATAGAGGGGTAACAAGGCATCAAGTCTGCAGCTTACTCCCAAGAGAGTGAGAATAAGAATGGAAATGAAGTATGTTAATAATTGTGGAATCTAGGTGAAAATTACACAGGAGTTCCTGGTACTATTCTTGTAATTTCAAGTAACATTAAATTAAAAGTGAAAACTAAGAAGACATATCAAACAATTACAATCTATAGATCTTATTTAGGTCCTGGATTAAACAAACTCTAAAGAAAAAATAAAAAGAAGAAAGGGAGAGAAAGAAGTGGCTATGGAATTACTAGAAATTTGAACACTGACAGGATTTTGAAAATATTAAGAAACTATTATTATTTAGGTGCAATAGTGGCATTGTGGTTGTGCTTTTTAAAGCCTTTGCTTTTAATAGATACTGAAGTAATCAGATGAGATGACATGCAGTTTGAGATTTGTTTCAGAATAATATGAGGAGCTAATGGGGGTAGAGAGTAAATAAGATTAGCCTAGAGTTGGTAACTACTGAAGTTGGATTATGTTTGAAGTTCCCCATAATAGCAAGTTTTAAGATAAGAAGCACTATAGGGTTTCAGAAGAGGCACTGCTTTGCAATGGGGGTATTTATAGGCTTGAATTATAGGTCTACCAGTTTCTAGTCATGCCTATGCCTTTAAGGACTGAATTTCACCTTCTATAACTTTGAATGGGGAGATTCTAAGTGTTATTATTATCAAGAAAATAATACAAAAGGGCCTAGCCTGGTGAGATACACATTGTAGTAACTCATAAATCCAAGTTCACTAAGACAATTCATTCTTTAAAAAAGAAAACAACCCCACAGACAGGACACGGAAACTCCAACTCCACTGATCCACTCCACTACTACCACTGCAGCCAGCTTCCAGAATGAGAGAGCACCTCTGCACTGTGACACATAGGCCTTGTCCTCCCTAACGTGGAACAGGCTCCTGCCTTTGAATATACATCTCAGGTAGAAGACAACTATGTTCTTAGACTTCAATCAGATCAAGTCTGATTTTGTGAAACTGTCAATTAGCAAGAGCATTTATGACAGTATGTATGAAAGTAAGCATGAAAAATAAATTCCGCCTCAGATGTACAAGTTCCAAAGATTCTCATAGTTTAACTATCTGCGCTTTCTTTTCAAAAAGACTTAATGCAGCTTCATATTAGAAATTTAACAGATGAAGTTAAGATATGTGACTTATTATAGCATATAAAAGACTTTGTTGCCAAAATTTCTTCCAGGTAGAATTATTTCCTATCAGTTCCATTCAAAAATCCAACGGTCACTTCATCTGCCCAGTCTTTTATAAGCTTCTGGTCTTCTCAATCCCTTGGAACCATTTATCAATGAATTACACAAATGCTTTAACTGCCGGTTGTTCCAGGCTGAATTTTCATCTTTACCAGCTTGTTTATCTACTAGAGATGAAAAAAATGTAACAGAAGTCCCCGATACATTGGAAACTTAACATGTTTAAGACACTGTCACAACAGCACAAGCCAAAATGCTTGTCTTCTATCAATTTTCAATAAAGGATAGAAAAAGAATAATAGGTTACTATGGACCAGAACCAATAGGTACTTAACATCTGAGACCTTATCCCCATTTTCTAAAGAACAATGACTGTCATCCCATAATCAGTGCAAAACATTTGCCTTTTCACTTGCAATTCCTAGTGAGTTATTTTAAAACTGCTTTACCTAAAACAAGGAGATATAAAAGGGCTTAGGGAGCCAGGGTATGATGGCGAGTGAGGACGTCAGGGACAGGACCAGAACAAAGGAGCATGGAGAGGGTCTTCTAATGAGGTCAACTTCCTACGTGACAAAGTACTCATGGACATAAGCAGGAGACCCAATCAGACAAACACTCTGTACTCATGCTCCTAAGGAGGGAATCCAATAAAAATCTAAAACAGACACATGGACAGAATGAGCACTATCATTAACAGGAACGTGTGGACAGGGGAGGAGACCATAAAGAGAACAGGCCAAAACTCCACCAGATTCCCAGCTTTAGTGCCCCTTCTCTTTGGAGAAGTCTATCTCTGTAGCTTCTGCAATAACCTGCTCTTGCTTGCTATCTCTGTGTCCTGTTCTTTGATTCTTTGCTGAATAGAAAGAATAAACCTAGGCCCCCTACAAGGTAACAAAACCATGACTTCTACTGAGTTTGAAAACGGGAGATGATCTATAACATGAGTGAAAGTTAATTTTAACATTGTAATTGTCATTTCTTCCTAGCACTCTGTCCCCATTCCTGAGGAAGGATCAGGAATTCTATAACCCTGATTCCTGGAAAAGCACACTGCAGAGCTGCTGACAGCACACATAAAAGTACGCTTTTTCTGTAAGAACCAGAGTGAGTATTTTAGGCTTTGCAGGCTGGAGGTGTCTGCAACTGCTCAACCCTACCATCAGAGTGCAAAAGCAGCCACCAAGTGAAGCTGTTTTCCAATAAATGTTATTTATAAAAACTGATAGCAGGCCAGATTTAGCCTTCAGGCTGTGGTTTGTTAATCTCTGAAAGACAAATAAAATGTGGTAGGTAGGAGCACAAAGAAAATTCTAAC